GTCTGTTGTTCAGGGTCCTTTGCTAACATGGCAGAAAGTTTCAAACAGTGTCACTTAGCAGCATGGGTTTTATTGTTAAACATAACTGAGTGAGGCTGTTGCAATGGGAGAGACTGCTTGGCTGTAGGAAAATTCCCCTTTTCACCACCTGACTTGGTTTTATAGAAATTTCTTTCCATAAGCCTTTTCCTTCTATTGATTCTGAAATTTATTTGTCATTTTTCGATTGGTCCTTTCTTCCATTCCTGGGTGAAAGAAGACTGAGTCCCAGAAAAAAGTTTACTTGAGACAATCTTATCCAACACCTTTCTCAGATATGCATTGGAGATGCATTAGAACCAGGAAACGTGCACTTATAATTTTAATCTATAATTCCTTTTTTGTTAATCTGTTTCTTTCTGATTTAATTTAACTCCATTTATAGCATGAGGGTGCAGTTGTCAAAGTTCTGATTATCTGGCTCGATATTGATCGGTAATTTAATATGTAACTGAGCACACTTGAGACTCGCTTGATTTTTTTTTTTTACAAAAAGTCATTTCTAACATCTAACATTTTTCTTACATTTGTTCTGTACAACAATAATTTTTAACATAAATTTTGTGATTGTTTGGACCTGTCCAGGACCTCACACAAACTTTTTTGCTTCAGACACACTTATGTCTTGTCTAGCACACGTCCTCTCATTCTCTTTCTGACTCAACTCTTTACATTCTTTTAGGTACTCATCCACTCATCCAATTGTTCCAGCCAAGACTTTCTCAGCCTTTCTCAACTGTACTTCCCACCTACCTTTTCCACACATACCCTCTTCAACAGTTCTCCTTTCTATTGTAGGCCAATTTTTCAATCTTTTCAACCACATTCTTTTACACCCTACACTTTTCCAGCACCTGTTCATTTCTCACATAGTCTCTCCTTGTTATGCCAAACACTTTGCTCAAGTACCTCATCTCATATTCAGTAATGTGGTGTCTCCTATTGCTTTTCTGCCATACCCAAGTTTTGCTACCATATATGAGCACAGGAACCAGAACTCTCCTATACACAGCTATTTGTGATTCTTTGGACATTCTTTTATCCCTTGCAAATCTACTCATTGCATCCATCACTTGACTTGAGCTCCAGTATTCACTCTTCTGGTTATTTCACCATCTATTCTTTCATTCCCATTGTAACCGAGGAAATATTGGCTCCTGAGAATTGCTCGGCATAGATAAAATTTAAAATTTAATGTTTTGTTAAGAACAAATTTTCAGACAAGAAAATTATCAAAATTACACTAATAGGCATACAGATATATGGGACGACTTTACAATAAGACTGATTACATCCCATGCAACAATAAACAAAGGAACTTACCCTAACTTAATTCAAACTTAACTAGTTTTTTCAATAAAAATAGGGCTTGGACCAAGATGGGATCCTGTTGGAAAAATAAGAAATAAGATTGTAGAATTTAGAAAAAGTGAATTTAGAAAAAGTGAATTTAGAATTTAGAAAAAGTGGATATGATTGGCAAATTAACCTGGAGACTTCCTTCTGGAAATTTGTTTTTATTCCTCCAAACACACATGTTACTCCTTTAAAAATTCTGTTTCGAAAGATATCCATCATGTCCTCTGTCCCTATATCCCCTTTCTTGCTAGTTTTTCTAACCAATTTGGCTCTATCTACCCCTTTTGTTTTAAAGAACACATCAGACCAACCAATAAGGATGAGGCCAGATGGACAAAAGCCTGGAAGTACAGTTTTGAAAGAAAAGGAAGTTAAGAACATAAGGCATGATCAAACCACACCATCTACCATGCTTCCCAAATATACAAACTTGTGAGAAGCTGGGGATTACAGGTCGTTATTGTCAACCCCTTTGATCAATCCATTTATGAATGCCATCCATTGACACAGTGAGCGGCCCTCAATGGACCGCTCATTGTGTCAATGGATGGCATTCATAAATGTGAGTGGGAAGGGTTAGCGAAGTCTTTGGTAAGGTGTCGGCGATACATGAGATAAACAACCATTTATATAACCTAACAAATTTAATATAAAATAAAGTATCTTTTTGATTAACATAAAATAAAGGATTTCAAGAGAATACAATCAGAGTTAGAAAACTTAACAGTTGTTCAATTACATGAGTTGGTAGGGACCCAACTTTCTGAGTGATTATCTATCTACTTACAAACTAAAGACTGAGAGAAAGAGAGTTTATGATAAAATGGTCAAGTCTTCTTTGGGATTCTGGATGTGACATGCAAGGGGACAATTCTTAGGACGATTGCCCCAATGATTGGGTGCGAGCTCTTTCTATTTGTCCTGAGCATGGGAGTAAAATCAGGTGATTTTGATTTAATGGGTCTCACTGATATGGGCCATAATAATTTTACGATTCGGCCGGGTTGTTGATACTTTTGCCAGGTGTTTTAACCCTTTTTACCATATAAGACAGACAAATTTAAGGTTATTAGACTAATGTCATCAATGAGGTGTTGTGACTCTTCTTGCCTCATAATTTAATTGATTTTGACATTTTTCTCGTTAATAATCATTTGTTTGGAATTATTCTTGAAACTTATTCAAAACATTGTTAAAAATTGTTGATTTATATGGTTATTTGATTGTCTTTATCTATCAGATCAGAGGTCAACGGAAAGGCCAAGTGGTGGGAAAGAAAGTAGGTTTTTTTCTACTTCATAATTAACTATGTAGTAATTTTAACTAATTAATCAGCCTAGAATCTCACGAACTCATTCACTTGTTCCAGTTGTTCATCATTCAGCTCAATCATGCAATCCATTTGCTGACGTTTGCATCCAAGCACAAACACTTTAGTTATATTCGCATTCACTTGCAGCATATATTCCTCACGTGCCTCTTCAAGATTAGACACCATGATCCTGCCTTAGTCTGGCCCCTATCCTCTGACCTATTCAGTATGGGTATCCCTGTAGGCAGCAATTCTACCACAGGGACATAGAATTGCTGCCTACAGGATCTAGAGGACAAGCAAGCTCATACATCAAAGTAGGGATTTTGAAGCAGGATATATTTTACATAAATTAAAAAATTCAAATTGTTCATTACCCGATCATGACTTTAAATAAATTAAAAACATATGATGATAAATAATTTTGTTGGAATTTAGAAGTTTGTTTTTGTTTTGATATTTATAACTACTGTGAGGCCTGAGCAAGACTCAAGCTTGTGTGTTAAAATTTAATAAAAGTGTGAGAAGCTGGGGGCACGGGCTGTTTCCTAAATGCCACTTAAATTGGCACAGTCTGGTAAAGACTGCTGACATTGTGTTGTCGTTGGATGGTTTTTTTGAGTGGTGAGGGGGTTGAGCAAGTCTGCAAGTGTCCGTGTTTCGGAGTGACAGGAGACAAGTTTTTAACAGACAACAAGAAGAATTTATTTATGACTAAATCTAGATTACAGGAGGTTATAGGAAGCTAAATGTGGTTAAATACTACTGAAGTTCTATACAAAAAGGGTAGCTCTTAGCTAAGCCTATTCCTGTTACCTGTGGAGAGAGAGTTCTCAGATTGCTATCAAAAATACCTCTATGCGGAAAAGAACTGTATGCGACGATTGGTCCATAGGAAGAATCGTCATTCTTGTCCATTGTCTTCTCGGCAGGATCGGGGACTCAGAGACTAAATGTGCACTATTTCAAGTACAACTTCCATTCGATCACCCCAAGCTTCTGGTAGCTCTTGCTTTTATACGTTCATTGTGGGAAAGAGGTCACATGATCGTCCATTGTTGAAGATGACAGTGCATTCTTGATAACTAAGTGTCAGCTTTCCCACTGACCTCCGATCTGACTCTTTGGTTTTTTTCCAGGGATGTTTACATTTCGAAAAAACCGATTAGCATTAATTTTAAGATTCCCTTAAAAATCCATGGGCTCACAAAAGTGTCAAGTCAGGATCAGGCTTTGATTCTAATGCTCATAAAATAAAAACTAAAAAACAAAATGCAAATAAAATCAGGAAGGAAAAAAGTATTAGTTAAGAGAAAAAGTTTTTAAATAACCTTAAAAGGAGATCTAGCATGGAAATTATGTGCCAGACTTACAAGAATTCAAAACAATAGTTAAATACGAGCAGGAGTTTCAATGTGTGATGAAATAAAACGTGGTGTCGAATTTGACTTTGTGTGGCCTGAAATGATCTGTTATCTACCTAGATACAAGAAACCAACCAACCGGAAAGCTAGGAATCCAGGGAAAAAATCTTTTAAAAGCCTGGATCTCAAGGACAAAGGCAGACTTTCCTCTTGTCTCAAAGTGTGAGTTATCCGACTAGTCTTCAGTGCTCTTCATATGGCCTCTTTATCCCCAACTTCACCATCCTGACTTGGTCTGTGTTGGTTTTTTGATACTTTGCCACTGGACTTTCCAACATTCAACCAACCGCCCTGGGGCCATCGACTCTACAGACCAGCTCTTACACTCAACGAAACACTATAGAATGTAAGATTTAGTGTTAATAAATGACTTTATTTCTAACTGCAGGTGTCTACCTCACTTCCAACTTCCATCCACTTTACATTTGATAAATCCTGACATTTGTTGATCCTCAATTCAACAATCTCACACTACTCTCCAGTTGAAAATTGTATGAAAGAATTGACAGTTTTTTACATGAAATTACTGTAAGGAAGAAAAAATTGTTAATTTCTTTCTTAATAAGTAAAGATTTCTTCATATTACATGTAATTTTAATGAGACAGCCAGATGGTCAAGCAAATCAAGTGTCAACCTATCACTCTGGGTGCCCTGGAATGAGTCTGGATGGGTTAAAAATCCCCAGAAACTTTTCAAGGTGTGGTTTGTCCCAGATATGTCAGGCTTCATCCTCACCACCTGGCTGATTCATTGTGGGCCCAATCAAACCCATAATGGGCTCAGTACCCATAGGATGAAAAGAGTATAAAAGAAAAAAGCTTTGTTTTTACAAAATAATTAGTATAAGTTAAATTCTGTATTTCAGCAACGTCACCGAAGTGACAGTCAAGTTAACAATCGGTTATCTAAGGTGCTACGCAGAGGACGAGTGGTGGAAGAAAGATGGCATAAAGTACAAGTGGGAGATATCATTCGGATGGAGAATGATCAGTTTGTAGCTGTTAGTATTTATTAAATTTATACAAATGCTAAATTTTATTAATGTCACTGTGTTATAATTGCTGTATATATGTTTTGAAACTGTTGTAATTGTCACAATATGATAGCTTTGACCATTTTATATAATGAAACTTGTGTTTAGACTTTCTGTTAATAAGGCATTAAAATTTATGTCTAAAATGTTGGAAATTTGATTCTAAATCTAAAATTTTTAAAAGTAAATTTTATGTTATTTTACTGATTAACACATTTACGACACATTTTGTACTTGTTAACATATTTTTGTTTGTTTTCCAGGCAGACTTACTATTATTGTCCACAAGTGAACCTAATGGTCTTTGTTATATAGAAACTGCAGAATTAGATGGGTAAGCAGTTTGTGTAAAATTAATTAATTTATTTGATAAAATTTTAAAGGAATTATTTTTTAAACAGGGAAACAAATTTGAAATGCAAGCAGGCCTTACCTGAAACAGCAGAATTAGGTGAAGATAATAGTCTGATGGGTAAATTTAATGGTAACTGCCATTCTCCATTATTTGTATTATTGCAAACTTCAAATAAACTGAAATTTTTGTCATTTTTATAGGTGAAATAGCATGCGAACCACCTAATAACAATCTTAGCAAGTTTGAAGGTACTCTATATTGGGAAGGAGAAGCATACTCTATAGATAATGATAAAATGTTATTGAGAGGATGTGTTCTACGCAACACAAAATGGTGCTATGGAGTTGTGATATTTGCAGGAAGAGACACAAAACTAATGCAGAACAGTGGAAAAACAAAGTTTAAGCGCACAAGCCTTGATCGACTCTTGAATATATTAATAATTGGGGTTGAGTATTCATTTCAAAATGGTAGATTTTAATTTTAAATCATATATTTTACTTTATTGATAATTTTATTTTTGAATAATTTTTAGATTGTCTTCTTCTTGATCAGCACATGTTTGTTTTGTACCATTGCCTGTGGGGTATGGGAAACCATCACTGGGCAACACTTTCGTGCCTTTCTTCCGTGGGATAAAAATTTGGTGCCTAATGATAATGCAACTACCGGAGCTGCAATCATTGCCGTGTTAGTGTTGTTTTCCTATGCTATTGTGATGAATACAGTTGTGCCTATTTCTCTGTATGTTAGGTAAGAACAGTCTTGTTGACTAAAGGATATATTTTTCTATAAAATTAACATCAATTTGTTTGTTAGTGTGGAGGTGATTCGGTTTTGTCACAGTTTATGGATTAACTGGGATGAAGAAATGTATTATGCCACAAATGACACTCCTGCTTGCTCTAGGACCACCACTTTAAATGAAGAGTTGGGACAGATTGAATATATCTTCTCGGACAAAACAGGAACTTTAACACAGAACATCATGGCTTTTCTAAAGTGTACCATTATGGGTAAATTATATGGAGATGTTTTGGATGAAATTACTGGTCAACCTTTAGAAATTACAGAGGTAAGCTTTTATATCACACACTGATTTTGTGAGATGCTAATCATAGTATAATATTGAATATGATATAGACTCATTAAAATCCATTTAAAAAATAATGAACAAGTTGTTCATTAATGTAATCCTTGTAATCATTGGAAACATTTAAGAATATCTTCCAGTCACATTGTGTTATACTTGAAATAAATGGCACATTATATACTTGCACAGTCCAGTTCCATTTTTTTGGATCTTTTAAAACATTTAATAAAACATTCAACACCTTATAACGCTGAGAAATATTAACACACAAATGTTTTTAGCCTAATGGAATAGGCCATCATCAGTTGACAAGTTTGAAAATTGCATTAAAACAACTTTCGAACATTACAAATTCAAAATTAAAACGTAAAATAAATTAACCAATCACTATACAAAATAACTATAATAAATAGATTGAAGCCATATTCATATAAATAATAAAATAAGGCGATATAAAACTAAAAACAAAAATAAACCTAAAAGATTAAATGCAAAAAATAATATATATTTTTATGAATTTAATTCTTTTGTGCATTTAATCTTTTAGGTTTATTTTTATTTTTAGTTTTATATCGCCTTATTTTATTATATTATTTATATTAATATGGCTTCAATCTATTTATTATAGTTATTTTGTATAGTGATTGGTTAATTTATTTTATGTTTTAATTTTGAATTTGTAATGTTCGAAAGTTTTGTTTTAATGCAATTTTCAAAGTTGTTTGATAACTTGTCACCTGATGATGGCCTATTCCATTAGGCTGAAAATGTTTGTGTGTTAATATTTCTCAGCGTTATAAGGTGTTGAATGTTTTATTAAATGTTTTAAAAGAAGCTAAGTTTGATATTCAATTTATTGGATCTTTTAAAAGTTTTTGTTGCATTGAGTTGAGTATTATACACTGGGTGATCATAACTAAGATCTCTTCAACACTGTCTAGAAAGATATTTAGAAGTCAAATGCTACCATATTTTGTTTGATGACATTTCAGGACATAAGGAAGATATTTCTGTAAAAATAAATAAGTACCAAAACTCACTATTATGGAACTTTTGATGTTACAAACACTAGTTATTTTATTTGTATAAGATACTCATTCTATACAGAAACTTTAGTGATGCAGAAGAAACTGCTAGAAAAATGGCTGCAATGGATGATTACTGATGATCATAGAAATGAAAGTTTTGATAGGGATAAAATAATGTGTAAATCTAATGTATATACCAAAATTATTTGAAAGAGTCAAAAAAGTTTTAAATGGAAAAATTAATTTAATACCAGAAAAAAATGATTTATTCAAAAAATATTTATACCACAGACCTAATAAAAAAACCAGAAATAATAGAAGAAAAAGAAATTGTATATTCATTTGATTGTAATTGTAAACAAAGAAAACCATATATAGGTGAAACTAAACAGAAATTAAAAATATGTATTAAAGAACATATACGAGCCATTAAGGGAAATTATGCAAATTCAGCAGTAGTAGAACATTATAACAGAGAAGGATGTGAAATAAATTTAAATTCCATGCACTCAAACTTCTTTAAATAATATTCACAAAACCTTTCACTCTTTCTCATTCGAATATTTGTTAACTGACGTTCCAGTGGTATAGAACCTGAAGAAGACTGTTTAAAATGGCTGAAAAGATTTTTTTTCTTATGAAAATTGCTAGAAAAAACGTGAATGGTTTTGTGATACTTATTTAAATTTAAATACAATAAAAATAAAGAAAAAGGAAAGTAACAATTTTAAAAGACAGTTATACAAACATATCTACATTAAAAGGCAAACCAATAAAATCAACAATCTGGGATGAGAAATCCACCAATCATGGAATACTATAATCGATGACGTTAGCAGAGTCGGTAGATTAACTGGTCTTTCGACTTCCTATCTTCGCTCGTTGCTAGAATCAACTAGAGACAAATGTTACCACCAGGGGCACTGCAATCACTACAAGAC